GCTTCCGGCTCTGGAAGCGACCGCGGCCGACCGCTCAGTCTCCCGCCATCTTGTGCCTCCGCCCTCTCCTCCGCTGGAGGGTGCTGCGTGGGCTTCCCGCCCGCCCCGCCCTGTCCCTGGCGAAGTCTGGGAGCGAAGTTTCCGGCGACTCCCACTTCTGGGTTCCCTAAGGGCTGCGGCTGTCAGTGTCCAGGGTCTCGTCCCACCCTGGGCCCGGGGAGGGCCTCTCGCCGCACCTTCCTTTGCCAAATTTCTGTCCCGTTTGCATCCCGAATGAACGTTTAGGTTGCAAAGTGTGGGGGAGACTTGGATAAAACAAGAAAATTAATTTTACATGTGCTTAATTACTAAATCTCATCTAGTCTGGGTCATGACAAAAGTAGCTTTGGTGGGATCGGGGATGTAGCTCAGTTGCGCCGCGCCTGCCTGGCAAGTGCAGGGCCCAAAGTAAGTCTCGTTTTGCAGATGAAGCGGAGTGGTTTCGTGGTCAGCTCTGTCCCGGCAATGTTTAGGGCTGAGATTCCCACTTTCGTTAATCCAGTACCCTCAAATCAAGGCTGCTATATGAGTGCCCAGTCCCCAGTGCGAGTCATTCTGGCGTGACTGTATCAATGGCCCAACTGAGAAGACGTTAGTAAGTGAAATAAGTAGTACCTTAAAACTCAAATGTGGGACTGGGGATTTAGCTCAGTGGCACTGAGCCTGCCTAGTAAGCACAAGGTTCTGAGTTCGATCCCTGGTACCAAAAAGAAAAACCTCAAATGTAACATACTTTGTCAATAAGAGAAAGTTACACATTATAAAAGTGACGATCCACATTTGCTTAGTGATGCGGCATTAGTATATGCTCCAGAGACCTAAGTCTCCATAGACAACATAAAACATTCGCGTCTTTAAAAATCATGTATTATGTGCTGGGGATGTTGTGGCTCAGTAGTAGGTAGAGCATTTGCTTTGCATGCATAAAGCCCTGGACTCCATCCCCAGCACCACAAAAGATTAAAAAAAAAAAAAAAAGATGTATTAAAAACAATCCGGTGTGGTAGCACACACTTGTAATTCCAGCACTCTGGAGGCTGAGGCTAGATCTCCAGATTGAGTCCAAGCTGGGCTCTATAGTAGCATGTTCAAGGCCAGCCTTGGACCATCTAGTGAGACTATGTTTTAAAAAATCCTCTTAACGCTGAGGGTGTAGGTCAGTGGTAAGGTAATTAATTGCCTAGCATGCAGGAAGCCTTGGGTTTTCCAGGATCATAAAAAAAAGGCGGTAACTATCCTTAGATATTCCCAGCAAAGTCCTTTCCTTGGAATTTGTTTGTTTTTGTTGTTTTTTGTTTTTTTGAGACAAGGTCTCACTATGTAGCTGAGACTAACCTGGAACTTACTATGTAACGCAAGCTGGTCTCGAACTCACAGTGATCCTCCTACCTCAGCCTCCTGAGTGCTGGGATTACAGGCGTGAGCCACCACGCCTGGCTTGTTTGTTTTTTGAGACAGGGCCTGTCACCAGCAGGAGTGTGCACTAACTGAAGGTCGAGACAGTAGTAATTGCCAACTAGATTTTTACATACTTTATATATGTCACACATCAAACATGTTATTCCTACCCACCGGTTGCCATTCCCTTTACCTGCACAAATCCGAGGAGCATGACTTTGCTATTCCTTTCCTGGTGATTGTGGTTGTCCATCCTGTTGCCTCCTGCTCAATCTGGGGGTCACCCGGCTCCTTGGAATTTTGGGGGGGATTTGGAACTCTAAACAGGCGTGGTGGTGCACACCTGTAATCCCAGCACTCAGGAGGCTGAGGCAGGAGGATCACTGTGAGTTCGAGACCAGCCTGGGCTACATAGTGAGTTTCAGGTCAGTCTCAACTACATAGTGAGACCCTGTCTCAAAAAACCAAAAACAACAACAACAAACAAACAAATAGCTGTGACCCTAGAGAAGCAGAGTAACCCTCCGGTTTCTTCATTGTATTAGAAAAAAGTAGCTTCAGGGCTGGGGATTTTGCTCAGTGGCTTCTCTGCCTGCCTCAAAAGCATAAAGTCCAGAGTTCAATACCCGGTACCCCCCCCACGAAGAAAGGAGCTTCAAGGATTTACTATAATTTGCTTTGCAGCAAACACCACTACATTAACATTGTTAATCAAACGTGTACCTGATGGCTTGAAGCGTTTTACTTTTATTTTGTTTTTGCTCGTGCTGGGCTACAAACCCAGGGCCTCTCACACAGGGCACTCTGTTACCAAGCCTCATCCGCAGCCTTGAGAGTCTACATCTTGGGAGCCAAAGAAATCAAGAAGAAAATCTTTCAGTCTACAGAAGAATCCAGGAGGTTAAATAACATGCCATTTTCTCAGGTTGAAGCTCGTTGACAAAAAGAGAAAAAAAAAACAACTTGAGGGCCAGGGATTTAGTTCAGTGGTTCTGCTGCTTGCAAGGATGCAGGGACCCGAGTTCCATCCCTGGCACACACACACACCCCCACACACAAAAAAAATCAGCAACTTTAATCCTTTCTTGTGTTTGGGGTGTTGAATTACACTCTAAGAGTAATGTAAATAAAAATGTAATAAGTTTCCTCTCTCAATGTTGAGATTCATCATAAACTTTGGGTTTTTATTTTTTTGCTTTTTGGTACCGGGGATCAAATGCAGGTCCTTGTGCTTGCGAAACAGGCAGAGGAACCACAGTGCTAAATCCCCAGCCCAGGGTTTTTGTTTTTTAAAATATGTCTACTGCGGAGAATACAAAAAGTGAGTTTTTCAAGTGAGTGTGGTGGCCTCAGCACACGAGGGGGTCCCAGATTCAAACTCAGGTTGGGCAATTGGTGACTTAGCAAAAATAAAAAATGAGGGGCCAGGGATTGTAGCTCTGTATGAAGGCTCTGAGTTCAATTCCTAGTACTACCAAAATATGTATGTTTTGCATCATTTTCTTTTTCCTTCCCAACAGATGTTGTTCAGGAACCCCTCTTTCTTGGGGGATGAGAGAAGTGAAATCCCTCTCTTTGAAACATACCCATGTAGTTCAGTACCCTCAGGCCCAGAGATGGTAGGGACTGGTAATATCACCAACCCATGTTCCCCACTTCCCTTCCGTAAACTGCAAGAATGAAGCTTGTATTCTCTCTTCCGATAAGACTTCCCAGAAGTGAGTCACACCTTGAATGTGGTTGAGTAATTCCATGTACTGGAATTATCCAATTATTTTGATGGCAACTGGAATATGAAACCAGCACACATGGGAGGACCCAGACAAAACAATAGCAGAGAAATGGAGCCAGAGTAATAGGATTATTTTGCCTCTTCAGTTTGCTCTACTTTTGGATCTTCAGTTACATACATTAATAACTTCCTGGAGCTCCTGATGCCGCTTGCCTAGCATGTACGAGGCCCTGGGTTTGGTCCCTAGCACTACCGAAACAAAAACAAAATCACTAACAACTTTTGTTTTTGTTTATGTGTTTTGTTTTTTGTTTTTTTGAGATAGGGTCTCACTATGTAGTTGAGACTGACCTGGAACTCACTATGTAGTCCAGGCTGGTCTTGAACGCACAGCGATCCTCCTGCCTCAGCCTCCCGAGTGCTGGGATTACAGGTGTACCAACAACTTTTTTTATACTTTAAAGCAGTTTTTACTTAACCTTGCAGTGCTGAGGATTGAACCCAGGACCTTGTACATGCTAGGCAAGTGCCCTGCCACCAAGACACAACCTCAGCCCTGAAAGCATTTTTGCACTGGGTTTCCTATTTCAGGGCAAGCTTCAGATTTTACACAGGGAGTAAAGGCAGAGGTGCCATCTGACGTTTTATGATCTGATGGAATGGGAGATATCTGGGTAGGGTTATACTTTAAGCAATAGAGAACATGATGCGGCTTTGTCTTTAGGGTTGTAAATGGCTCTGTTCTAAAAGGAATGGGTCCCCAGAAGGAAAGAGTAAAAAGAGTGACCAACTTGACCTGCCAATTGAATATCTTTTCCCTACTGGGGATTGAACCTAGGGCTTTTGCACTGTGCTACATTCTCAGGCCCCAACTCCCTTTTATTTTTATTTTGAAGTAAAATTTCACTAAATTGCCAGGCTGTGCTTAGATAGGTAATCTTCCTGCTTCTGCTTCTCAGAGTACTGGGATTACAGGTGTGTACCACCATTCCTAGGAAGAGTATGTTTCTTTTGAAAATCTCTGGCAGGCACAGTGGTGCATGCCTGTAACCCCAGCACTCAGGAGACTGAGGCCGGAGGACCCATTGCTGCAAGAGAAAGAAAGACAGAGAGAGAGAGAGAGAAAGAAAGAATGAGAAATAAGAAGGAAGGAAGGAAGAAAAGGAAGGAGGGAGGGAGGGAGGGAGGGAAGGAAAAGAAAATCTTTGCTGAAAACTCCACCCTACAGCCATAAGCCTTTGAAGAATTTGTTTCTTTGTTTGTTTCAGTGAGGTCTTGTGCTGCTCAGACTGGGTTTAAACTTGGTTAGTCCAGTCTCAGCTGTGAGTAGTGGGGATTATAGGCATGTGGCTCTGGGCCTGCCTGAAAGACATTGTGATGGCCTCTTGGG